ATGGGAAAATAAGATAACAAATATTTTTCGACACGTCTGAATTTAATATTTATATCTTATATTTGACCAATCAAATTAATGTGCCATTTCCATACCGCCTCTCCAACTAACTTATAAATAAAGTGTTTTTGTTTTGTTGTCGAGTTTAATGTCTGTAAAATGGTAATCAGAAAGAAACAATTATTAATGTCTTGCTNTATATTTGACCAATCAAATTAATGTGCCATTTCCATACCGCCTCTCCAACTAACTTATAAATAAAGTGTTTTTGTTTTGTTGTCGAGTTTAATGTCTGTAAAATGGTAATCAGAAAGAAACAATTATTAATGCTTTCCACATTATTTCAATTATGTCTGACAAAACTGTGCCGAAGAATACTAACCAAATTGTTATCATTATGTCAAACATTTATATTTAATATGTTATATATTATATCTTATATTTAATATTTTCCATTGTGTCCCTGCCTTTAAACGTACTTAACAGACGGGTGAAGGCGGCTCTGTGTGAACTGGCCCAGGACAACTGGACTAGGCACCTGGAGTAGCTGGATCCACAAGACAACAGCCTCTGGAAAACGCCCTGCGACAGACCGCTCGCCGTAAAATTCCTTAAATCCACGGTAGTGTGGGGGTGGTTTACACGAACCAGGAAAAGGCCGAGGCTTTCGCCGATAGCCTGGAACTGCAGTGTAGACTGCCTCAGCTGCCCGACGAAGACGAGGATTTCGAGACAGTGGCTGAGCGCGCGGCCCGACGCGTCGACAGAAAGCCAGACAATGACATAATCCCCCCAGCAACTCCTGATGAATTAAGACTGACAATACACAGACTTAAAAACAGAAAAACCTCCGGACCCGACAATATACATAACACGACACTTAAACGACTACCACACAAGGGCCTCATAGCCCTACTAAACATAACAAAGGCGACACTCAGACTAAGACACTTCCCTACCCGCTGGAAAACAGCAAACATAATCCTTATCCCAAAACCCAACAAAGATCACACCATCCCATCCAACTACCGGCCCATTAGCCTGCTCCCGGCTGTGAGCAAAGTGGTAGAAAATATTATCCTAACCCGTCTAAGGCCGGTGTCCCATGCATCCGAAATCCGATGTACGATATCCGAAAATATTTTAATTCGTACGAATGATAATATTATAATTCACATGCATCCGAAATTAATCTCATAGAAATCAAGTCTGGAACCATGGAATTTATTACAAGATGAAGGTGAAAAATTTTCAAAAGACAACCATAGGTATATATTATAGAAAATATACGTAGTATTATATTTTCTATATTCGACATTATAATATAACATTTATTTGACTGTAAATATACCAAACAACAATCATAGCATGTTAAGAAATAAAAAAGTGAGGTTAAAATACGTACGATTTCGGATAAAAGTTAAAATTATTTCTACTTTTTCCGACGTCGTATGAATTTAAAAAATGTCGGATGAAAATGAGCGGTAAGAATTTGAATGTATATTAACCAATAGGAACACTTTCGGACCTTCGTATCGTCGGAATTCGGATGCATGGGACACCGGCCTAAGAACCCACTCCCAAGAACTGCAAGTCATTCCAGACGAGCAGTTCGCCTTCCGACCTAATCACTCCTCTGAACTCCAAATCCTTCGCTTTACCGAGCACATAACGGCGGCCTTCAACAGGGGACAGTACACTGGTGCTGTCTTCCTGGACGTCGCAAAGGCCTTCGATACGGTTTGGCATGAAGGCCTACTGATGAAAATGCTCACCAACCAATATCCCATATCCTTTACCAAACTCATAAAATCCTACCTACACCACCGAAAATTCCGCATCCAAATCCAAGATTCCCTTTCCACCACCCGTCCCATGGAGGCCGGTGTCCCCCAGGGCACCGTCCTGTCCCCACAC